TCCTGTCATCTCTATAGTCATTGGTAAAATTGACTAGGTCCCCTTGAAATGATTTCTTCTCTGGCACTGAGCAGCTTCCTACCCTCTTCCAATTGTTCTGTGCTCCCACCCCCACTCTTCAGCCTTAGAGTCTCTGAGATTACTCCTGTGGCTATTACACACATGTTGGTCACTTCTAAACTTAACCTCTCATCCTTGGATTCCTGAGTTTCAGACTCACCACTGAATTGCCCACTTAATATCTCCACCTGGACATATCACAGGTTATCTACCTTGATACCTCACAGTGTGCTCCCTATCTATCATGTCACACCTCTTCCCTGTTCTCATCTCAGCACATGGTGAGTCTATCTGCTCAGTCAGAAGCTTTCAAACAATCCATGATCTTCCTTGGCCTCATTCAAATCCATCACCAACTCTGCTTCATTAATTAGTTCAAAGATTTCTACAGCCATTTTTCTTTTAATTTCTAACACATCTTTCCTTTCACATTTCCCTACTGCTGATTCATCTTTCTGCTCCTGTTTTAACATTGTTTTCTCAAGGAATCCTTCCCTGTCCCCTGATCACTTATGTAATTGTTTATTCAATCCGTCCTCCCTGCTCTAGATTGATAAAGCAAGAGACACATGTTTTGTGTTTTATGAATCTCTTGTGTCTAGCACAGGGCTAGGCACTTAACCAACTCTCATTGAGTATTTACTGTGGTCTTGGAACACAAGGTTATGCATTCATGAGCTCTTTGGTTGTCATTGTCCTCTGCATTCTCTGTGGCCACTATAAGGATGGCAGCATCTCTTGGCTCCTCTCCTGAATGATGTGCTTTCAAAATTGCGTTATTGTTTGCACTCCTGGTTCTCCTAGGAGAATGCTTTCGGCATCTAATTCACATGGCTCCATCCAGGACACCTCAAGGCCTGTTCTGCCTTTCCCAGCTTGTCACAAAAGTCTCTGGATTTTCCTATTAGCCTTCCTGGTCCTCATAATTATTAGGGACGGAATTCCCTGGAGGATTTGGGGAGCTCGTGCACACACACACCTTCCTGGCTCAGATGTCTCCCTCCTAGAGCTCCCAAACACTCTGTACCTTACATCTCTGATTCTTCCCATAGACTGTTTTTTTTTTTTTTTTTTTTTTTTCCAAAAAGCAAGATCATTGAACTGTTTTGCTGGGACTGACACGTCTTTACATATCTAAGTTTTAAGCGAAGAAACACAGGCCCACACCATGGCAAGCCTTCTAGCATCTGACTAGCTCTCGTTGACTATTATGAGCCCCCAATACTTAGAAGCTCACCACTTCCTCCCTAGTGTGGAAGAACAAACACCCTCTAGTCACATGGGTGAGACACACCTAATGTGGTACTCACCAGTCAAAACTGCTAGCCAAGCATTCCACTACAGATCTTGTTCCTTCCTTTTCTGCCACTTTACTCTGTGAAATTCTTTGGATTTAGTCTTTGTCCTCTTTGAAGATTAACCTGAATTCCTTGTTTTCACCATACATTCCCCCAAGGGGGGATTTTTGATCTTTCCACTCACCCCACCTAGAATTCCTTTCTCCTGTTTTTTCCTCAGTTATGGATTAGACTTGGATTTGAACTCAAAAGTATGTCAGATACTTAATGGGTTTCAAAGGATTTCTTATTGAATGAATGAATGAACAAAAATAACATCAATAGACATAAATAAATATCAGCATCACAATCAGAAGTGTGCAACGAAGTATATGACATTAGAAAATGTTTATACAATGCGCTCACTCTCAAGGAGCACTATTCTATTAGAAACAGTTGGCATTTTGCCCTATTAATTGCTCACTTGGGTAACTGTGCATGTAATCTGCTTACATGATCCCTTCCTTCAGTGGTCTCCAAAGTAGGCATCCAGCTTTCTCTGACTTCAAGATTGGCAAGTAGAAGGTTGTGAGAAATGGATGGAGTGTGAATGTGACAGGCAGAAAGAAATTCTCCATAGCACATAATAATAAAACACTAAATGTACAGAACAAAGAAAGAGTATTAAAAACTGCAAAAGAAAAAAAATCAAGTAACATCCTACCAGAATTACACCTGACTTCTCAATGGAGACTCTAAAAGCCAGAAGGGCCTGGACAGATGTGCAGCAGACTCTGAGAGAACACAGAAGTCAGCCCAGACTACTATACCCAGAAAAACTTTCAATCATGATAGATGGAGAAAGATAGTCTACAACAAAACAAATTTAAACAATTATCTCTTACATTCCAGCCTGCCATAAAGCACAAGAAGGAAAACTTCAACCTGAAGAGGTTAATTCCACCCAAGAAAACACAAGGAATAAATAATACCGGAACAGCAAATCAAAAGAGGGGATAGGAACCCACAGTACCACAACAAAATAAGGGGAATTGACAATTGCTGTTCATTGATGATTCTCAACATCAGTGATCTCAATTCCCCAATAAAAACCACTGGCTAACAGAATGGATGCAAAAAACAGGATACATCCATTGGCTGCATCTGAGAAACACAACATCAAGAATAGACATCACCTTAGAATAAAAGGATGGAAAAAGCTATTCCAAGCAAATGGAACTAAGAAGTAAGCTGGTACAGCCACTTTACTATCTGGCAAAACAGACTTCAAACCAAAACTATCAGAGAAGAAAAAGAAGGACACTACATATTCAAAGGAAAAATCCACCAAGAGGACATTGCGATTGCAAATACACCAAACACGAGGGCATCTAAGCTCATAAAATCACCACTGCTGCAGCTTAGATAATTTGCTGACCCTCACAAAATGGATAGCGGGAGACTATTAGTTTCTCGACCCTCATCAGCAGACAGGTCATCCAGACAAAAACTCAACAGACAAATGTTGGAGCTAAATGACAGCATAAACCAAAGGGACCTCAGAGATATTTACAGACTATTTCACCCAAACACAAATGAATGTACCTATTCTCAGGAGTTCGTGGAACTTTCCCCAAAACTGATGACACACTTGGACACAAAATAAGTCTTAACAGATAAAAGAAAATTGAAATAATACCCTGCATTATTTGTGACCACCATGGATTAAACTGAATATCAACAACAACAGAAATAACAGAAAGCTTACAAACTCATGGAAACTGAACAACTCACTACTGAATGAAAAATGGGTCAAAATAGAATTTAAGAATGAAATTTAAAACTTTTTTTTGAATTGGATGGAAATGAAAACACAACATATCCAAATTTATGGGACACATTAAAGGTGGTTCTAAGAGACAATTTCATACCACTAAGTTAAAAAAAATGGAGAGATAATAGTAACTTAATATCACACTTAAAAGCTGTAGAACAAACAAACAAACAAACAAACAAACAAACAAAAACTAGAAAAAGAAAAAGAAATCACATCCAAAAGTAGTAGGTGGCAGGAAATAAACTTGGGGATGAAATCAATAATAAAGAAACAACAACAAAAAAATTACAAGTATCAATGTAACAAATACTTGCTTCTTTGAGAAAATTAATAAGACTGACAAACTCTTAGCCAGATTGACTAAAAGGTGGAGAGAAGATCCAAATTAATAAGAGATGAAAAGGGGGACATAACGGACACTGAGGAAATCCAGAGAACTGCAGGATCATACTTTAAAAACCTGTACCTTACCAAATATAAAACATCTATAACTCCTAGTCAAATATAAGCCGTAATTAAAAGTTTACCACCCCAAATGACCATGTTAGTGCAGAATTCTACCAAACTTTCAAGGCGAGTTAATGCCAATACTCTTTAAATTATTATACAAAATAGAAACAGAAGGAACACTGCTTAATTCTTTTTAAGAGGCCACAATTACCCTGATACTTAAGCCACACAAAGACCCAACAAAGAAAGAAAATTACAAATCACCTTCCCATATGAATACAGAGGCAAAAATACTTATAAACCAAATACAAGAACATATCAGTAAGATCATCCACCATGATCAAGCAATCTTCAGAGATGCAGGCAGGGATGATTCAACTATGTTATTTGATAAATGTAGTCCACCACTTAAATAAACTGAAAGAAAAACATTCACATGATCATCTCATCAGATGCAGAAAAGGCCTTTGACAAAATCCAGTACCTCTTCATGATAAACGTTTTAGAGACCTACAGCCAGACAATGTGCATAAATTAAGAGACCTTGTCACACTTAGCCCTAACAGGATGTCCCCATCAAATATTTCCTTTCTCAGCTTTGAGAAGAAGAGGTGGTTAAGAGTTCAAGAGAAAGAGGGGGTGGAGGACACCAAGGAAACAATGCCTTCTAAACACTGCATGATGTTTTATATGCACATAAAACGCACATGATGCACATATAAAACCATAGAGACTGTGCGGCAGCATTACAGGGCCTGGACCAGATGGGGGCCCAGAGTTGAGGAGAAAGGTGGACATATGACCCCATCCCTAACCCAGAGGCTGTCTCTAGCTGATAACTACTTGCAAATGAAAATTTAATTTTCCCCAGAGGAGTCTCACTGGGGAAATGAACTACTCTTAAGGGTAGGTCATGTCCAGCAGGAGATAGTCAATAAAAAATGAACTCAAAGTTATCTTTGAAGATTCTTTGTCTCATAACATTGAGTCAAGGCATTCTTAAAAAAAAAAAAAAACTGTGTAGGTCCTTTGTGCATACATTATTGCTTCCAGTTTTGTGCTTTTATAGGATTCCTATGTGTGTGAGTGCGCCTTTTCTTTGGCTCTTTTCCTTCTTTTTATTGGTTTTGTCCTATTCTGATTTGTTTGTTTTTGTTTTATCTTATTGTATTTTACTTAATTTTATTATTTTCCCTTGGATGCCTATTTGTTTTCTAAGGAGAGAGAGGAAGGGTGTGGAGCTGGATGAGAAGTGGGAGGTGGGCAAGAATGGGGAGGAGTAGAGGGAGGGGAAACTGTGATCAGAATATATTGCATGAAGAAAATCTATTTTCTATAAGAAAATATACCTTCAACAGCAAGAAACAAACAACTCGTTGCTTACCCAAAAATGTCTATTTTATTGGACACATGTCAGGGGCTCTTTTATATTTGTAGATCTCTGCAGTGTTCAGCTTGATCTTTAAAAACAACAGAATTTGAGTGAATATCAATAAAGCCAATGCATTATAAATATTCTATTTTCCCGCATATATGATAGGGATGCCAATAAACAAAAAATGTATTTTCTAGCAATTCAGAAACGAATACTAATCTCTGAATTTTAATTTAGTGATGTACCAGAAGACCCTGTGAAAATATGAGCCATTCAGAAACGAATACTAATCTACGAATTTTAATTTAGTTATGTACTGGAAGACCCTGTGAAAATGTGAGCCATTTAGCTGCCGAGTTAGTAGTGGAGTAAAACTGTACACATGTACATTTTAGGAGATGAAATTAAGTTCTTAATGCATTCATGTTAAATGCTTTGCATATAGTTTTCATTATGCTATCTGAATTTACTACCACACACAGTACTGTTTAATCTTTTCCTGATTCCAACCCCTTGGCTGACACAATGGCTCATATTTCTGTTGATAAAGTTGATTCTTGTCATATAACACATACATTTCTGTATGTATTTATTCTCTAAACTTCTATAGTCATCAAGCTAGAAGCAAGGTTTCCCTCAGATCTTTGCAGCTGCCACTCTGTCTCTGGCAGGATGCTAATAAAGACTAACTTGGAAGCAAGTGTTCTTGATCATACGAGACCTCTCTTTGTGGTCATGGTCTATCCTCCTTCAGGGGGAGAGACCTCAGTTGGTTCCTCTGAGTGGGCAGCAGTGACCCACCATCTGTTCCAGCCAGAGGCATATGGAAGGGAGGGGAAAAGGAGGGTGAGGCTGTGATGGTCTTAATTTAAGACCTCAAGGAAGAGAAAGGATGGGAACTTTCGTAGGTGGGCAATGTCAGAGGAGAATTCACTGAAAGGCTGACTGGAGCAGGAAACAGAAAAATGCAAGACCACTAGCAAAGAGACATGAATGAGCAACTCCCGCCTCAGCTGTGAGGCAGGGAGCATGGAGACCTCTGGGGTAGGAGCAGGTGCTCAGTTCTCTCAGCAATCACCCATCTTGTCATTCCAGTTAGATGGGTTTGTTAAAGTGCCTTGGTAATGTTGCACACCTTTCAAAATTGCAATTCAGTGCTAAATAATGGAGTAGTTTTGTTCAAAGCAGTATTTATTTTTTTATGAAGAAAAGAGCCATATTATATTTCTATCGAAAATGCTGTGAGAGGAAAAGCTGCATGTTACTGAAATGACAAAAAATCATAACAACCCTCCACTTATGAAAGTGTTCTTCCCTATAAGAACATGTTGAATGAATGGCATTATTCCAGGTAGTGAGCTATGCAGAGCTGTGTATTTATTAGTTTGTTTTGAAATGTAATTTGTACAGTGGTTTGTTTTTTATTCTTATTTTGATGGCAATGAAACAGATTTATTTGCTACATGTTGGATGTGGAATAGGTAACAGACAACCAAGGGAGAGAGTTTAATAAAACATTCAAGAAAGGTAGTAGCCTCAGTGTATCTGTCTGTTTACACTGCAGCTAGTAAATAAGAGGATGAGAAGGGTAAGGCTTTAACTTGATATTGCATCCTGGAAGGTTTATTGAAAATTGGGTAGAGCGCTCTAGTGTTTCATGTTCACAACTATGGTGTGAGCTGTGCCCTGTGCCTACAGTGAACTATAGCATGGTTTTGGTACAGGAAGCCATTGTTTCACAGGAAGCTTGCAAGTGGTTATGGAGGGAAAGTGGCTCCTGACTGTGGGCCTGGCCTATTTCTCATTGTTCTCTGTCATTCTGGACAACTGAACAATGCAGTATTTGATTCTAATGATCATTGAATAGAAACTGATAAGATAATTGCACAGAACCTTTAGAAGACATGTGACAATAAGCACAGGTCTGCTGAGCACAGCTGTAACTTGGATTGGAGGGCACTATATACCTAGCAGTGCAAGTGTGTTTGAGCTGACCCTCTGACACTGGACTAAAGCAGATCATGTACAAATCTTGTACCAAATTGGTCTGTGCTCGGGACACACTGAATTCACAGAAGAAATCACTTCTCTTCTACTCTCAAGGAAGGAAGAAGAATGTAGTTCCCTGAGAGCAGCCCAGGCTAACCTGACTTTAATGTTTCCTCCTAAGCATCTTGCTTTGGAGAGTGATGAATGACTTCCTGTTTCTGGACTCGGTCTCTTTAGCATAGATATAGGGGAGCCACTGAGGAAAACTGACTCTCGTTCCTAGTAATGAATACAAAAAGCTTTCCAGTGGAAAAGCAGGACCATATGTGTTCCTCCACAACTATTGCTGGCTCTATAGAGTAAGGTCTGAAGATTGAAAAGGATAGGAAACCTCATATCTAAATTTCCGCTGATTCAGAATATAGATTCAGAATCTTAAGTATAGGATTAGGAATTTATATCAATAAAAGTTAGTTATTTTGTTAATACATAAAAGCTTTTAGGCTATAAATATTCCAGGATGGCTTGTCTGATATAACATGACATCTGACTACATGTACATATTGAAAAGATAGGAACCCAAAAGCAAAACATAGAAAATGATTGGCACAGTTTCGAGAACTTAGACCCATTTTTAAATGTTCCCAGTTATGTCAATATTTGCTTATTTCTGACTTTCTATCACCCACATCTTCCTATGAATACCATGTTGAAAGGCTCAGGAGTAATGGCATGCTATTCCTGAAAATACTTGCTTTTCTGCAGAAAAAAATTGAAAATTCTGCTGCAACCTATTGCTTGCCTCTTGAAGGACTATCACAACACTCCCTGAGCAATTCATTGAGAAAGGTGCTCAACAGGTTAGCTTGCCTTGACAAAATACATAAAAGAGGACTTGATTTGATTTTTAACAACCATGTATTACTTTAGTGTTTTTTTTTGAGAAAGATAATTGCTGTCCACATTTGTAGGTGTTTAGTGCATCTCATGTAGAAAATAGTTAAATACTTGGTTTTATCCCCAGAAACTTTATTTTCTTCCATATTATTAAGACATATACATAAGAAAGTTTCATCTTCTGCTTAATGGACACATGCTTTCTTTAAGAGAGCAAGACGTGATATGTTTTGTGAATCAATGTTTCAAAAGAAATTTATATTCTGAATTTCTTAAAGAGATGTTTTATATGTTTAACACACTCCTTATTTTAGCAAAATTATTGAGTAATAATCGAATCATTTGTCTCTAGTGGACTTTAGTAAATATACTGAATAAAGTATTTCAATTGTTTACACACACAGAGATAGACATGTGTGTGGGTATACATACATATCTTCACATGCTATTAATAAATGAATTTCTATATTTATGGATATAGAAGTTGACAATATATGCTTGTTCTTGCCATGGCATTAACAAAGCGAGCTTTCCATCTGTGTTCACTGCATTGTAGCTGAGAAGCAACTTTGATTGCTTAGGGTGAGATAAGGGTCCTTTACCATGTCTTAACCCAAAGGTCTTTTCATTCTTCATGTATAAATGCACACAGTGTCTTATCGAGGTGGCCTTGAGCTGCAGATACAGTCACACCGCTCATGGTGATCCAACTGGATATCTACGAGAGCCATATTCTTAGCTTTGCTCCTTCTCCTGAAATGGCCAGGCTCAAACTTTAATACCTAAAATAAGAAGCATATTTCCAATTAGAAAGCCTGTGAGGTTTAATTCAATCAGATGCCACCTACCCATTCCCCTTCTGATAACTAGTGTGTGTGGTTGTTTGAAAGAAAATGCCCCTCTTAGGGAGTGGCACTATCAGGAAAATGCCCCCCCCCCCCCAGGGAGTGGCACTATCAGGAGATGTGGCTTGTTGGAGTAGGTGTGGCTTTGTTGAAGAAAGTTTGTCACTGTGGAGATAGGCTTTGAGGTCTTGTATGCTCAAGCTATGTCCAGTGTGGTACATAGTTCACTCCCTGTTACTTGTGGATCAAATGTAGAACTCTTAGCTCCTTCTCCAGCACCATGTCTGCCTGAACGCCACCATGAAGATAATGGACTAAACCTTTGAAACTGTAAGTCAGCCCAAATTAAATGTTTTTCTTTATAAGAGTTGCTGTGGTCATGGTGTCTCTTCATAGTTAGAAACCCTAAGACAGTGCATAAGCCTTTGAAAAGTCCAACAAATGAGATAAACTTGCTTCTGGAATAAATAACCATTGACCCCATAACATACAGGAGTCTACCCCTCCCAGAAAAATGTCCCTGCCTTACTTTCAGTAGGAAAATGTTTTCAGGTGTTTAGGAAGGCATTATTAACAGCCTCCTAAAGACCTACGTTCTGCCAAGTACTATAGAAATAGATCATTGTTCTTCTGAGCAAAACGTGTTGTAAACAAATATAATATTATATTAACTCCAAGGACAGGATGATAAGGTTTGAGCAGACTGTCAATATAAATAAATAATAGATTGAAGTAAATTCCTCCTCCTCTCCCCAAGAGGCCCATTGCTGGCCACAAAATTACTTATTTGTGACTATATAATGCCTTTTGCAATTCAAAATACTCAGCTACAATAAAATAATTACACACTGATATTTGTAAGTCATCATTGTGTTACCATATTCAATATGTGTGTGAATGTGTATGTGTGTGTGTGTGAGAGAGAGAGACAGAGACAGAGAGAGACACAGAGAGAGAGACAGAGAGACAGAGAGAGAGAGTCAGTGGAGGTCACAGGACAATTTTTGGGAGTTAGTTCTCTCCTACTGTGGGTTTGGAGGATTGAATCCAGTTATCAGGCTTGCACAGCAAGTATTTTTATCTGCTAAGCCATCTCTCTGGCCCCTAAAATAACATTGCAAATAATTAGTTTAAAGAGACTCTAAGCCTTCTTTTCTGCTGTAGGCTTCACTGAGCCAAACACTGTCCCAGAGACATACACTTGGCAACATCACAAACTCATCTTCACAGGTAATCAGCTCCTTGCTTCTCTCCTTTATGCACACAGGTTCCCCCAGCCTGGATGTCCTCTTTGTTTCTTTCCTCGCCATGATACCAACAAACAATTGTGCAGCACCTTGCAGTTTTCCAAACATCTGTGCAGGTTTTCCCCATCTTTGGTCACTGTTTGTTACATGATAGAAAGGTATGGCTATGCATGTTCACTGATTAGACAGGAAGGTTGCAACGGCAGAGAAGTCCATTGTCTACAGTCTTCTGATGACGTAGGCCCTGGACCAGGACATTATCTTCTAGCTTCTAGAATGCTGATGAAATGTCTCTGTGATATAACTGCCATTTCCTTCTGCATCTGAAGCTTTGCCTGGAGCCAAATATGAAGTGCAGTGGGAGCTCCTTATGCTTTGTTTAGTATGTTCTGGTCCTCACTGAAGACTCCATGGGGCAGGGGGAACTTACTTCAATGCCCGTATCACTTTCCACAGCATCTCTACAATTCTACACTATGAATTGTATTCTTAGCTATTTCATTACTCTCATAGTCAGTGCTGAGAGTCTTAACCACACCCAAGGCATGTATAAGAACAACTATGCCAAGACTCCTCAGCACTGAGCATCCCAATCTGCAGTCTCCTTTTATTTAGCTGTCAGCAAAGCTGTTTGCTGGGCTCTCCAGCAAGGTAGAGGACAAACCCTACTTATTATGTTCATCCCAGTGAGGGATCTGGAGTTTGATTCGAAAGAATGATTACAAAAATCGAAGAATAAAGGACCATGCTTCAGTCAGTTCAAATGACAGTTTTATAGCTCGTATAATTTTCTCCTGTGACTCTACTGCAATTATGTATGCATAATCTGCATCACACAATTTTGCATAAATTTTTATGTTCTCTCTGTTAACTGGATTGTAAAAATAAAGATGGTAAACATTACTGCCAACATTGAGTATGTTCTAGATGTAAGTGGGTTGGCAAGTATGAAATTATTTGGACTTCGCTAGATGAATTTGCCATTTTCCTAATTTAAGGCATGGATTAAGAGAGGGATTAAGTTATTTGCTCAAGATCATGGAGCTTGTAAGTAGGAGAACCAGAAAGCAATCAGCTCCAGGTGGCCTAGGCCAGGTCCTTATCCACGGAAGTTTTTGCTTATATTCTAAGCAGCATGTTGGCAATAAAGTAGATCCTGAAAAACATAGCTTGGTGAAGATGATGTGTGCTGTTGTTTGTGTGGAAATATATGGAAAATTTTCTTTCTTTCACATCTTCCCTGTGATCAAGCCTCCAACAAACACAGGAGGCAATATGGAAGAGACCAGGGTAATCCAATACAAAAAAGATCTTGTTCTTCAATGAAAATTTAAGTAAGGCATGCACTTTGGGGTATCAACCAGCCCTGCACATGGCAAGTAGGAAAACTGCCGCATTTGCTAAGCAGGTTTTAGACAGGACAGAGTTGCACCCCTGTAGTGTCACCAAGAATTTCTCCAGTATATTTTCCTTACTGTTGTCCCAGACTATCTGCCTGTAAACAGGATTGGGGGTACTTGGGGACAACATGATTCCTAAGAAGCTGAGCTTCCTAAGTATTAGTTTAAACAAGGCCATTATCAAGGTCTGGTAATTTTCAGTGGCAGGAACCTGTAAACATCAGTGATCCGTTGACTTACTTTCCATTTGATGGCAGACAAAATGAATATTTGGTAGAAGAGCCTGGGCAGGTTTTCTAGCTGGTTTTCTGATTGTTCAGGGATTTACCCCTGTGTTTTATAATAAGCTACAAGAGCACAGTATATATGTGTTTTGCTGATAAGAAATGAAAAAAAAAAGTGAATTGGCAGACACTTTCTCCAGACAAGTCAGAAAAGCACTATTTCAACAAAGTGGAAATTGGACTGCTTTAATGACTGATCACAGCACTGATGTTCAAAGCTTTCAGACCATGTAATAGTCTTAAGTTCAGGTACACAGTATTGAAAGGAAGAAGAAAGCAAGGCTGATTTGAGGAAGCATGGAAAGCTAAAAGAAAAATGAAAAGCTTTTATCAGCAAGAGCAAACTGGTAGGTTATGGGTTACCTGGCCATCTTTAGAGGGAAGTGACTGTTGAATTAATTACAGCAGCCAAAGGACCTTGGTAATAGGTATTATCACAAAATGCTTTTCTATTTCCCGAGCTATGATTCACAGCTACAAGCATACACATGGAAATGAAATTCCACCGAGGTACAGCCAGCCATGCCTCAGCACCTATGGGTGAAAATGGAAATCTTGACTCCTTTTCGTTGTCTGGAAAAACTCCATGAAGCCAAGGAAATCGGCATCTATTAAATGGTGAGTGATGGACCAAACTGATGGCTTTTGTGCCACAAAATCAGAGGTGCTCAGCTTTATAAATTACCAATGTCACAATTGGACACGATTTTGACTATAGTCCTTTGCCTTGTTGCCAATAAACCAGTGAATGAGTCATTGCTATAAGGCTATCACACTAATAAAACAATACCAGGCAGAAAAAGCTATCTGTCATCGTGAGCTCTTGTTTATTGGGAATGTAAAAAAAGTTGTTAAAACCTTGTAACAATTCCCAAATTAATGGCTGTCATAGAAACACAAGTACATATTTCAGGACAAATGTATTATATAAACCTGAATCATTAGGAGTTTTTAAGATTTTTATCTAACTTTGAAAGCAGGCAGTATTCAACACAGAGATTCAGTTCCTTACAAAACAAATTCCTACTTTTTGCTTCTATATTGACTCCTTTCACATGTAAAGACTTCATATGAATGTAGAGATTCACACATTCCAAGGGATGTCAGTGAATTACTCTGAGTGTCTGAGGAAAGGTATTTGGAATAGGAATTACGTTTTTCCCCTGGGTGATGACTTGGCAGAGGCTGCACAGTGTGTCTGAAGTGCTGAAGCATGGCTAAGACACAGTACCCTCAAAGAAGGAAGTGTCCACAAACAGTTTAAATGACACACAGAAAGGTTTGAAGGTGACAGAGACCTGGGTTACAGTGAGGGTTTAGAAAACACTTATGGGTTCTGAAAAGGTAATTTTCACATCTGTGGATATTTGTTTCAAATAAAAGCTTTATATGAGCATGCCAGAAATACCATGGGAACCTTTGTAGAATTAAATGGTAAAATAATTTTAATGTCACTTTAGAGGAACCCTGTCTACATATTTAGCCTCTCTGCTGCAGGAAAATATGGGAGTTGTCTTGCATGGAGTTCTGGAACACCTTTGGGTGTCATTTGTGACACAGGTGGGCCTTGTTGGCCTTGACTGCTGTGTCCTTGCAGGATTGCTAAGGTTGTTTGAGAAGGTCTGGGAAGGCGTGTCCCGGGAAGGGGTGTCCCGGGAAGGGGTGTCCCAGGAAGGCATGTCCCGGGAAGGGGTGTCCCGGGAAGGGACGTCCGGGGAAGGGATGACCCAGAAAGGGATGTCCCGGGAAGGGGTGTCCTGGGAAGGGATGTCCCGGGAAGGGATGTCAGGGGAAGGGATGTCCCGGGAAGGGGTTTCCCAGGAAGGGATGTCCGGGGAAGGGATGTCCCGGAAAGGGATGTCCACATGTTGTAGTATTGGAACAAAGAGTCCTTTCACTTGGCAAGTGAGTGAGCAGGACTGGCAAGTGGTCAGTCTAGAGACAGTCAGGCCATTGGCTCTCATAGTTCTGTCCATACTTGCCTTGTGGTTTACAATCTCTGGATG